AGAGACCCGGCTCCTCCTCGTGCTCAGCTTTCCTGGCCAGTTAGCTGTCACGAGCTATGATCCCAAGCTGCGAACTCAAACTACAATCAGGACTGGTAACTATCCAGCAGCTGCAGAACATTTTGGTGTGTCAAGTATCAGGGGGTAGCCGTGTTAGTCTGTATCTACAAAAACAACAAGGAGTCTGGTGGCACCTTAAAGACTAACAGATTTATTTGGGCATAAGCTTTCGTGAGCAAAAACCTCACGGATGCTATGCATCCAAATAAATCTGTTAGTCTTTAAGGTGCCACCAGACTCCTTGTTGATTTTGGTGTGTGTGTGTGTGTGAGTGTATGTGTATAAGCATTAAGGTATTTGCTAATAGTTACAGGTTAATAATAAATGTGGCATCTTTGTCTTGACCCCTAAAACGATCCTGTGTAAGTTTGTGGGATAACAGGAGCCGTCAGTGCCGGGCCCCTGGTTGCGCCCCTCCAAGCCCTGCCAGATCCTCCCCTCCCCTAGGAACCCGCCCGGGGCACCCTGCCCTCAGGGATGGAACTCAGGAGTCCTGGCACCCAGCCCCCGATGCCCATCCCGGGTTCGAGGGGAGGGAGGCGGCTCACACGGCCAGTAGGGCTCGCTGCTGCCCCCCCCACCTTGTGCTGCCCCTCCTGCGGCTCGACGGGGCGCTGCATGGGCGGGCTCTGGGCTGCGGGGCCGGAGCCCAGGGACACGGACTCCGAGCGTGTCTGCAGGGCCGGGTCGGACGCGGTGCTGCCCAGCTTGGTCTGCGCCGCCGGCGAGTTCTGCTTATTGAGCCGCGTCCGTTCCTCCACCTGCAGGGGGCAGAGAGCATGGCAGGGAACCCAGGAGTCCTGGCTCCCAGCCGCCCCTGCTCTAACCCTAGAGCACCCACTCCCCTCCCAGAGCCAGGGAGAGAACCCAGGAGTCCTGGCTCCCAGCCCCCTGCTCCAAACTACCAGTCCCCACTCCCCTCCCAGAGCCGGGAAGAGAACCCAGGAGTCCTGGCTCCCAGCCCCCCTGCTCCAACCCACCAGCCCCCACTGCCCTCCCAGAGCCGGGGAGAGAACCCAGGAGTCCTGGCTCCCAGCCCCCCTGCTCTAACCCACCAGCCCCCATGTGATGTTATTGACATAACCTGTGACCGTCTAGAGCATTGATGCAACCACTGTTGTATATTTGCAGCAGGTGCTGTACAAAGGTTGTCGTGTGAGGTGTCTGTGGAGAGGTTGTGGTGTGCTGGGGGTGACTGTGCTGGGTGTGTGTGTATCGGTTTTGTAGTTGACGGTAGGAATGTTGGCTCTGCGCTCGTATCTCAAGGTGTGTGATTCTAAGTACCCACAGTGAAGCATTGGGGCTGTTCTCAGAAGTGCCCCGTCGAAAGACACTTAACGGACAATGGGCTTTGGGGAGACACCAACCTGGGAACGTTCACACTAATAGGGAAACAACGGCGTCGCCCTGGACATGTGACTTGCCCGTGTGACTCCAGACTCCATCTTGCTGCTGGGATTGCCACAGTAAGAGCGGAGGGGTCCTTCCTCGGGCAGAGGAGAGAAAGGGCCTGGAATCCCGTCCTGCTTCTGAGCTCTGCGGGGACCTGGCTACAAACCCACGCTCGGAACAAAGGGCTGAAGGATCCAGCCCAGCCGGGGATGTTCCAGAGACGGGATTTGAACCTGCAGCTTATCCCATCCCGGCTACAAGCCTGAACCGAGAGCTTTGCCGTTACGGTGTGTGACTGATTCCATGTAACCAAGACGAGCTCTCGTCTGGATCTTCTTCCTTACGAATAAACCTTTCAATTGTAGATTCTAAGGATTGGCTTGTGGGGAAGATCTGACTTGTCTATTGACCTGGGTCTGGGGCTTGGTCCTTTGGGATCGGGAGAACCTTTTCCTTTTACTGGGGTATTGGTTTTCATAACCATTCGTCCCCATAACGAGTGGCACTGGTGGGGATACTGGGAAACTGGAGTGTCTGAGGGAATTGCTTGCGTGACTTGTGGTTAGCCAGTGGGGTGAGACCAAAGTCCTCTCTGGCTGGCGGGCTTGGTTTGCCTTTGAGGTGGAGAAACCCCTGGTACCCAGCCCGCGCCCCGCGCCCGCCCCACGTGCCCAGCCCGCGCCCCACGCCTGCCCCACACACCTCCCGGGCCCAGGCTGGCTTGTCAGCGGCGTGGGCGCTGCTCCGGTTGTAGTGGTAGAGCGGTTTCTTGTCGCTCGCCGGCGCCCCCTGCTGCTGCTTCTGGAGCTGCTGCTGCTGCTGCAGGGACTTCAGGTAGGCGTGTTCCTGCTGCAGCTGGCGCTGGAGCCGCTCCGACTGCCGCTGCTCCTCCAGCTGCTTCCGCTTGTACTCCTGGGGGGGCGCAGGGTCAGGGGGCTCCCGGGGGCCTGAGCATGGGCACCAGGCGTCCTGCCAAGCCGGCACACGGGGAAACCCGGGCATCCCGCCACGCCCAGATGCACGCAGGGGGAACCCGGGCGTCCTGCCACGCCCAGACGCACGCAGGGGGAACCCAGGCGTCCTGCCAAGCCGGCACACGGGGAAACCCGGGCATCCTGCCACGCCCAGACGCACGCAGGGGGAACCCAGGCGTCCTGCCACGCCCAGACGCACGCAGGGGGAACCCGGGCGTCCTGCCACATCGGCACACGGGGGAACCCACGCATCCTGACAGGCCCAGACGCATACAGGGAGAACCCAGGCATCCTGGCATGCTGGCACACACAGGGAACCCAGGCGTCCTGACACACGCATGCGCACATGCAGGGGAAGCCCAGGCATCCTGACACACGTGCGTACACATGCAGGAGGAACCCGGGCGTCCTGACACGCCCAGACACAGAGGGAACCCAGGCGTCCTGACACACACGCGAACACACAGGGGGAGCCCAGGCGTTCTGACATGCCCAGACACACGCAAGGAGAACCCAGGCATCCTGACACGCACACACAGGGGGAACCCAGGCGTCCTGACATGCCCAGACGCACGCAGGGGGAACCCAGGCGTCCTGAAACGCACACAGAGGGGAAACCCGGGCATCCTGACACGCACGCGCACACACGGGGGAACCCAGGCGTCCTGACACGCCCAGACGCACGCAGAGGGAACCCAGGCGTCCTGACACGCCCAGATGCATGCAGGGGGAACCCAGACGTCCTGACACGCACACCTTGGAGATGGCCCCTGGGAGGAGGCAGGGTTAGGAGGGGTGAATCTCAGACCCTGCCCTCCCTGGGGTGGCGCCCAGCAGCTCTTCCCACCCCCACCGGATGGGGGCAGCTATGGGCTGAGGGGGATCTCTGCCCCCCAGAGCCCCCACCCTCGCAGCCTGGCCAGGCGCCACTCCCTGCCCCAGGCCAAACAACCCCCGTGGCCCGGTCCAGCCTTGGCGGCGCACTGCATTGTGGGTATTGTCCATGGCCGAGCACAGCTCAGAGCAGCCCCTGGGCTGCTCCAACTGGGGAATGCCCCACCCCCAAGCAGGGCTGGGTGGGCGGGACTTGTGAGGCGGGGGCGGGGCCAAGGGGCGCAGCCCGGTTACCAGAAGCAGGGCCTGTTCCTGCAGTAGCTGCTGCTGGAGGATTTCTAGCTGCCTCTGCTCCTCCTCTAACTTGTGCCTGATATACTCCTGGAGAGGGACGGACAGACAGACAGACAGAGACAGGTCACAGAGCAGGGGGGCCCGGGGCCCCGGAGACCAGGAGAGGGGGAGGGGAGAGAGCCCAGACCCCCCGGGGAGACCCGCCAGCCAGACAGCCAGAGGAGATTTCAACCTGTGGCCTAAGTGGCCCGGAGTGCTGACCCCGGGGGGGGGAGGGGGGAGGAGAGGGGCTCCAAGTTCACAAGCTCAGAAGTAGGAATAGAAGAGAACCCAGGAGTCCTGGCTCCCAGCCTGCCCTGCTCTGACTCACCAGCCCCCACTCCCCTCCCAGAGCCGCGGAGAGAACCCAGGAGTCCGGGCTCCCAGCCCCCCCTGCTCTAACCCACCAGCCCCAACTCCGCTCCTGAGACTCAATGTACTGCTAGACCCCCGCTAAGGCCCAGCCTGGCTCGGAGGAGTGGGAACGTGGGTGCCAGGCAGCTGGAGTCTCCGGGGTGATGGTCTCCCCAGGGCCGCAGCCCCCTGGCCCCGCCCCCCAAGCGGGGAGCTGGGGCTGACAAGGCCAGTACCTGCTCGCGCTCAGCCTGCCTCCGCTCCTCCTCCCGCCGCAGCACCTGCATGTCCTCCAGCCGCCGCTGCTCCTTCTCCTGCAGCTTCCGCTGCTCCCGCTCCCGCCGCTGCTGCTGTGGGGGACGGAGCCAGCGGGGCAGGTGGAACCGGCCGTGTGCGGGGGGGAGGGCCAGGGGGCCTGGCTCCACCCCCCTGCTCTAACCCCCCAGCCCCACTCCCCTCCCAGAGCCGGGGAGAGAACCCAGGAGTCCTGGCTCCCAGGCCCCCCCTGCTCTAACCACCAGCCCCCACTCCCCTCCCAGAGCCGGGGAGAGAACCCAGGAGTCCTGGCTCCCAGCCCCCCCTGCTCTAACCACCAGCCCCCACTCCCCTCCCAGAGCCGGGGAGAGAACCCAGGAGTCCGGGCTCCCAGCTCCCTCGCTCGGACTGGAGCCCCTCCCCTCCCGTTGTGGGGCAGTGGCTGGACGTGGGGAGGGGACCCAGGTGTCCGGGCGGCTCACCTCCTCCACGCGCCGGCGCTCCTCCTTCTGCTCCTCGATGCGGCGCTGGCGCTCGTGCAGCAGCTGTTTGATGTGGGCCTCGGAGTCGCGGTGCTGGGCCGCCAGCTGCTGCTGGTGCTTCAGCGCCGCCTCCGAGTGGCTCTTGTTCTCCTGCTGCAGGCGCAGGAACTCCCGCCGCAGCGTCGACTCGCCCGGCACGTTCATGATGGAGCTGGGGGGCGGGAAGGTGTCACGGTCACGGCCTGGCCCCGCCCATGGCGGCATGGCCCCGCCCCCACCGACACAGCCCCACCCAGCGCCCCTCGGCTCCACCCCCGCCCACAGCACCTCGGCCCCGCCCACAGCACCTCAGCCCCGCCCCCACTGACACAGCCCCGCCTATATGCTCCTTCACAGCCACGGCCCCGCCCCTCCATAGTCAGGGCCCCGCCCACATGCTCCCCAACACCGTGGCCCCACCGTGGTGCCCCACAGCCTCACCCACACAGCTGGGCCCCTGAACCCCCCCACTGACTATCATCACCCCACACACCTGGCCCCACTCGCCTGCCCCATATCCACAGCCCCACACCCAATGCCCAGACAGTCCTGCCCCGCCCTTTGTATCACCTGGGCATGGGGCCCCCTCCCTGGCAGCCATCAGCCCCCCACAGGCACCCCACAAGAGCCCCTCCCCCATACCCAGCCCATATGGCTCCACCCCATGGCCCTGAGTTCAGGCCCCATAGCCCTGCCCACTCTGCCCTTCCCCAACAACCCAGCCACGCTGCCTCTGGTCATACGCCAAAGGCACCTCCCGCCCGCCCCATACCTGGGCTCCCCTTCCTCCCCGTGGCTGTCATCCTCCTCCTCGCTGCCGCTGTACTCGTACTCCGTCTCATCTGGAGGGCGAGAGACTCCGTTAGACGGCGACGGGCTGGGTGGGGCCAGCGCCCCACTGCCTGCCCCCTGAGCTGGCAAGGCCTCGCCCCCATAGCCACCCACTGCCCGCCCCCTGAGCCGGCCAGACCCCGCCCCACTCCCCGCCCCCCTGAGCTGGCCAGACCCCGCCCCCTGAGTCAGCCAGTCCCCACCCCACTCCCCGCCCCCCTGAGCCAGCCAGACCCTGCCCCACTCCCCACCCCCTTGAGCCGGCCAGGCCCCGCCCCCTGAGTCAGCCAGTCCCCGCCCCACTCCCTGCCCCCCTGAGCCGGCCAGTCCCCACCCCACTCCCTGCCTCCCTGAGCCGGCCAGTCCCCGCCCCCTGAGCCAGCCAGACCCCGCCCCACTCCCCGCCCCCCTGAGCAGGCCAGTGCCCGCCCTGGGGCCGGATGGGAGCCGGCGCCCCGCAGAGGGGAGAAGCCCCGTCCCGCCCCACTCACCCTTCTCTCCTCTCTTCTTCCGGGAGCGGTCGATGTGGTCCTTGAGCTGGATGCGGACCTGGCGCTCCGTGGGCTGATCGCGGATGAAGGGGAATTTCAGCAGCTGCTCCGTGGGCGGGCGGCTCATGTAGGCTTTGATCAGGCAGGTGTCTATGAAGTCGATGAATTTCTTGGACCTGGGGGAAGGGGGAGGACACGGGGTGAGCACCACGCTCAGCGGCTGAGGCCCGACGGGCCCGTGATGCTCATCCGCAGCCACAGTCGGAGCCCGGGCAGGATCATCCAGGTCCTGGCTACACCCCCTGGGGATCCGGGCCCAGTGACCCCC